GAGACGAGCCTCGCCGGACAGAATATATAAATTGCGGGGCCCTCATTAAATGCTTATATCAAAATATTTAGAATTCGGGGCGTGCCGTTTAGTGAATTTCACGGCCACCCACAAAGATAATAACACGTTATCCACTTTAGGCGCGCTTTTAATAATTTTACCTTCTTAAATACGGGTGTGTATTTCATGCAACCCAAATCCAAATCCCAAAACGTTGAATAAAAATGTGTCGAGGATCCGGGTGCATTTCATGTGACGTGATCCGAAAATACGTTCTTAAACGACGTTCACTTTCTTAAAATTTGACTAAAAGCGGTAAATAATACTAAAATTGCACTATAGGTTTTAACATGTATAAAAATCAGATTTTAGCCAAATATAGCAGTTGAGCGACCGTGCTAGAACCACAGAACTCGGGAGTGCCTAACCCTTTCTCCCGGGTTAACAGAATTCCTTACTCGGATTTCTGGTTCGCGACTGTAATACAGAGTCAAACCCTTTCCTCGATTCGGGATTCAAACCGTTGACTTGGGACACCATAAATCTCCCAAGTGGCGACTCTGAATCTCTTAATAAACGAATCCCGTTTCGATTGTCCTTTAACTGGAAAAACTCGTTTTATTATACCCTTCAAGGGGTGTAGTAGCGAAAAAAGGAGGTGTGACATTCGGCACCCCTCGCGGTCCATAACGGTGGATCCCGGCCGAACTTATATTCATGTGAATTAGTTAGACAAACAGATAAACAGTTTTACCACGTACTTGCAAGTAAAGGCATGTTTTGACATTCAAGTAATGAAACAAGGAAAAGGGTTTGAACAGGTTGCACGTATATAAAGAAAAGTAAATTCCTTTAAACAACGGGAGTTAGGAAAGAGGGTCCTAGGTTGGGTAGCCTACAGGATCACCCCACACAATGCCCGGTAATCACTGCTCAATGAGGGGCTACACGTGACATTAGCGCATAGTCATCATATCCTTACTACCCAGTTCCCTCCTCTTGGTCATAGCCTAAAGCGTTCTAATAACCTTGATAGATGTCCTATGTGTGCACTATCCGTCCCTTCCTCGTGGTCCCGGAGGTATTTAGGACCTCTAGTTTTAGGTAGTTCTAGACCATCCTAAAGTATTTAAAGGAGAAAAAATCTAAGCGTCAATCAAAACAAGTTGGACTGTATTTCAAAAAGGGAACAATTAAAGGCTCACATTTACCTCCACAAGCATAACGAGCAAATGCACGTCTCAGACAACTATTTTTTAAGTATTTAAGAGAAAACCTTAGAACTTGATATCTAGATGAGCAAACAGTATACAGTATCGAATTAGGACCTACGTGTGAAGAACTGAGACCATTTGCCTACTGATTTTAGACCTGAGAATCTTTAAGCAGTAAACACAAGCGAAAACAGTTTTCCCATTTTATAAAGATTCATCACCTAAGGCTTGCCTAGGCGTGGGATCATGCATAATAGTTACCAGAATCATTACAGTTCAGAAGCCGTTTTACCATAAGAGCATGTTGTTCTAGTTGATACAAATCTGAGAATACAGAGATTATTACAAGTTTTATTCAGAAAACATCACAATATGAGAGTATTTTTATTACGTTTTCATGTATCAGTAATTAACTAGGCGTCTTAAACAAAATACAAACAGGATCCTAGAACATGGTATCTAATATGCACACGCAAATGGCAGGATGGTTAAAAACGGAATCCCTAAGGCTTGATTTCTAAATGCACACAAGAGTTGCGGAATTATTGAAATATGACTTCTGAATGCACAAGAGCAACAACTTTTATGCTAGTGTTGTTATTGTCCTCGGAGCAGGATTTCTAAGTGATAGAGATAAAGCATGCATTAGTGACAGATGAGATGCTGAAACAGTAGACATGAAATCCTAGGAACATGATATCTAGTGCATATTTTGCATGATTTGGATGAGTGTATTGATCCTAAAAACATGGATTCTAATGCAGATATAATAATGTAAATCCTATGACATGCTTTCTACCCCAGTGATATTAATAGGATTATATAGCTACCCCTCCCGTTTCACTAGCCATCCCCAACATTTGTTTACAAATAATTATTAATGACCAGCTGAATTACATAAACAAATGAAGAAAAAGAAGAAGTTAACTATAGGGAGCCTGAAGCAGGCCCAAGTGTATCCTGAAGATACCAGATTTTCCATAGCCTCAAATGCCAAGATGCCATAGCCAATTTCATGTCCAGGTGTGTCAGAGTTCCCAAAGGACCTCAAGGATCCCGGGCAGTGCTCACACCCAGATTTCATAACCAAAACTGAGTAAGTGCAGTGTGGAAGGGCCAGCCCCAGTGCATTAGAGTTCAGAGGGATCTCACAGGGATCCTAAGGCAGTCACACACTGGAGGGGCAGAACCTAGGGACTTAAGAGTGGAGTGAGAGTGCTTGACATAGTTTTGGAAAGGTTTGATAGGAAGCACAGTATTGAAAAGGACTCGAGTGAGGTAGTTTTATAAAAATAGGAGAGTTGTTTAGTAGTAAAACAGTTTTGACAAGAATTGTTTAATAAAACAAACAACGGATCAATCATAGAGCAGACAGAGTCCTAACCACATGATTCATACAAAGGGAATTGGGATTTGGGGACATACAATACACATAATGAACATATGACAAATAGAAGTAACAGTGATCCAAACAGGCTAGTTACATATTGAAGGGTCAGATAATAGAGAGGAACAGACTGGTAACTAGTAAACTAAAACAGCAAGAAAAACACATAGTGTTTAGGACTTTGAATTGAAATCAGAACATACCAGTTAGGGAGAATAGACACAAAGTGAAGAGAAATAGGGTGCAGTGATTAGCCTTGGCTTGCAGCCGACTAATTTAGTAATAGTAGCAAGTAACAAGAAAGAGAGCAGAAAAGCTTTAAGTGTGTGAGGGAGTTGTGAACTAATGTTCCTGTCTAATGAGAGTAGAAGAAAGCATATATATAGTAGTTTGAAATCTAGGTAAATAAGGTAAGAATCAAATTGTTCAGTAATTGGAGAACTTGGAATCAATTAAAGTGAAATCAGTCCAAGTGTTCCCTTAATTAAGGGAGTCATTTCAAACGGTAAAGAACAGGTACCAAATAAGGAAAGAGTTCAAAACACCTAAGTACAGAATAAGCAATTAGGGGTAGATACATAGATTTCTAATTAAGGAAATAACAGTAAGAATCGAGCAATAATGCAGTCAATCACATAACAAGGTAAGAAAATATTTTAAAGGTTGTGAAAACAAGACAAGTAGCCGTAAATCAGTAAAGAGTATCATCCTTGGAAATCAGGGATTTAAAGAATCGAAAAATAGTACTAATACTAAGGGAAACATTATAAACTTCCATGAATAACAAGTACTGAGTATAGCCAGAAAGAGACAAATCAGAAACCCTAGTAAGACATTATTGGGGTAGAAATCACTAATCGAAACATATTCATGGGCTTCGAACACAAACATAGCAGAATCGACAAGCAAGAATGAACTCGGGATTATAACATAGTGTTAAAACTGGGGTTTTAACATAACAAATTAGGATGAAAAAGCGATTTTAAGAAAAAGTCGTTCAAACATATGAGAATCAGAGAACAACATTAAAAAGACCAGAAATATGTTTTGAAAAAGAAAGTTCCAGAAACCCTAATGGGAAAATAAAGCGACGCTTTGAGAAATCATAAGGTTTTCCATAAAACACACGAAAATAGCTCAGAAAAACTTCAGATCTGTTACAGATCTAAGAGGTACAGGAAAAGAGATTAGGGTTTTCTAGAAAATGACCCAGAAATAGAGAGACCGACTTAGAAACCCATAGGTTTAGCCGAGAAATATGAAGATCTTACTCTGAATCACACTGGAACGGCCTGAAACAGGCGAGAAAGGAACCATAGATGCAAGCCAGCTAGCCCTAGTCCCTTGAGGATCCTGGAGATGGCAAGATTACCGTGAGGGAGGCCATTGAGGGCCTGGTGGTGGTGCGGAAACACCATGAAAGGTGGTAGATGACCGGCGATGTGGGTAGATTAGGGTTAGGTTCGAGAGTGTTTGAGAGAGCAGAGCGATTTCATGGCGGCGGACGGTATAGAAATGATAGGGTTTGGGGGGGTCTTTTGTTTTATTTTTGGAAAGGGGGGCCCTGGACCGTTGATCAAAATGATCAACGGCCAGGATTTGGTCGGGTATTGGGTTGGGGCAGGTGGGGTATTGGGCCTGGGTATATTTGATTTAAAAATTGGGCTGGTATTGGGTTAGAATAGGGCTAAAATTGAAATAAAACAGATCAGATTTTAATATAGCCACTTTTAATAATTATATAATTTATAAAAATAATAAATGGATTCCAAAAAATATCTTTGTCTACTGAAATGATTTAAAATAGTTATTTAACATTTAAAAAGTATAAAAGACCATTTTATGCATAAATAATGTAATTATGCATTAGTATGGCTATTATTGCAAAGATGTGCAATTTAGCCTAAAAATGTAAATATAATTGTAAAAAATGCACTAAAAATAAACACTATGTTGGCATAAATAAAGAATTTAGATGACTAAATCATCACAAAAGTAATTTGAAGGATAATTATTGGATATTTATATAAATAAAAAAGAAGAAATAAATTGATTTGGAGCTTTTAAAATTATAGAAAAATTATAAAATGTTTATGCATGCTTATAACTGCATATGTGCTATTTTGAAAGTATATATATGTTTAAAAATATGTGAGAAAAATTGGGTGTCAACACTTGTGTTTTAAGCTTAAGGTTTCATCTATTCATTTTAATTCTATGTTTGCATAGGGGTAGTTTCGTAGACATGGTTGACTCTTTATTCTAGTGCCTGCTCACGTTACTGCTCACGTTATTGGTTCTTAGTGGTAGTGTTTACCTAATACCTTTTGCTTATAGTGGCGTTAGTGAACGATGTGAGAGTAAGGTCATGTCTTCTGGTGGGGTTGGGGGTGGGGTCCATGGGTGGAAATGGGGGTAAGAAAGCCTCTAGGCTGAGAGTTGGGTGTTGGAACAATGGGACATTGACGGGGAAGTCTATAGAGTTAGGTAAGATTCTTCAGAAGAGGAAGATCAACATAGCATGTGTTCAGGAGACTAGATGGAAGGGTACTAGGGCACGAGATGTAGACGGGTTTAAACTATGGTACTCAGGGAGCGCTGGGGGTAAGAATGGGGTAGGTATTTTAGTTGACAGGGACATCAGGGAGCTCGTGGTTGAGGTTAGGAGGGTAAATGATAGGTTGATGAGTATTAAGCTGGTAGTTGGTGGGTTTACTGTAAACGTGATTAGTGCATATGCTCCTTAGGTAGGTTTGGACAAGGAGGTTAAGAAGCAATTCTGGAAGGATTTGGACGAGATGGTGCGTAGTATCCTGCACACGGAGAAGTTGTTCATTGGCGGAGATTTCAATGGTCATATTGGGGCTAGTGGTAGGGGTTATGATGATGTGCATGGCGGGTACGGTTTTGGGGATAGGAATGAGGGAGGTAATTCTCTGTTGCATTTTGCTAGAGCTTTTGATTTGGTTATAACTAACTCGAGTTTTCCGAAGAGGGAAGGAGCACCTGGTCACTTTCCGGAATTCAATGGGCAAGACTCAGATTGATTATCTTCTCTGCAGGAAATGCGATAAAGGTCTGTGCACTTACTGCAAGGTCATCCCAAGTGAGCACCTCACGACTCTTCATAGGCTCCTAGTTATGGACTTGGAGATTAAGAGGAGTAGGAGGAAGAGGGCGGGGTGCAGGCAACCTAAGATCAAGTGGGGTAACTTGACCAAGGACAAAGCTCAGGAGTTAGGGGAGAAGTCGTTGGCTATGAGGGCCTGGATGAGTAGAGGGACGCGTCTAGTATGTGGTTTAAGACTGCGAATTGCATTATGGTAGCTGCTAGAGAGGTCTTAGGGGTCACGAAAGGCTCTCCTGGGGGTCATAAAGGGGACTGGTGGTGGAATAGAGAGGTTCAAGGTAAACTGGAAGCTAAGAAAGCTGCTTATTTGAAGCTAGTGGAGAGTACAAACGAGGAGGAAAAAAGGACTTATCAGGAGTGTTACATAAAGGCAAAGAAAGAGGCGAAGTTAGCGGTTACGACGGTTAAGAACACGACATTTTCTCGTTTGTACAAGGAGCTCGAGGGCAAAGGCGGCGACAAGAGGTTGTACCGGTTGGCCAAGGTGAGGGAGAGGAAAGCCCGCGACTTAGACCAAGTCAAGTGCATCAAGGACGAGGATGGCAAAGTGTTGATGGACGAGACACTTATTAGGAGAAGATTGCAGTCATACTTCCATAAACTGTTGAATGAGGAAGGAGATAGATGCATTGTGCTGGGTGAGTTGGAGCACTCCGAGAGTCGGCGGCATTTTAGGTACTGAAGGCGGATTATGGTAGAGGAAGTAGAAGGGGCGATGCGTAAGATGTACAGGGGCAGAGCGACGGGGCCAAATGAAATCCCGGTGGAATTCTGGAAGAGCGCGGGGCGGGAAGGTTTGGATTGGCTCACTAGGTTGTTTAATGTTATTTTTAAGACAAAGAAGATGCCCGAAGAATGGAGGCGGAGTACGATGGTTCCGCTTTACAAGAACAGGGGTGATATCCAAAATTGCAACAATTATAGGGTATCAAGTCGTTCAGTCACACTATGAAGGTTTGGGGGAGGGTGGTAGAGGCCAGGGTGAGGAGGTGCGTGTCTATTTCCGAGAATCAATTTGGATTCATGCCGGGGCGTTCGACTACGGAAGCGATTCATCTGGTAAGGAGATTAGTGGAGCAGCACAGGGAGAGGAAGAATGATTTGCATATGGTGTTTATTGACCTTGAGAAAGCATACGATAAAGTCCCGAGGGAGGTCCTGTGGAGGNTGCAGTATGGGTGATTGCGAGGGAGGTCCTGTGGAGGTGTTTGGAGGCTAGCGGCGTTCCGATAGCGTACATTAGGGTGATTAAGGATATGTATGATGATGCTAAGACTCGAGTGAGGACTATGGGGGTGACTCTGAGCATTTCCTGTGGTGATGGGGTTGCACTAGGGATCGGCTCCTAGCCCATTTTTGTTTGCCTTGGCGATCGATGTACTTTTCGCGACACATCCAAGGGGAGGTGCCTTGGTGCATGATATTTGCTGATGATATAGTGTCGATTGACGAGACGCGTAGCGAAGTTAATGCGAGGTTGGAGGTTTGGAGACAGACCTTGGAGTCTAAAGGTTTCAAACTGAGTAGAACCAAGACAGAATACTTGGAGTGCAAATTCAGTGACGGGACCCATGATGCAGACGTAGAGGTTAAGCTTGATGCTCAAGTTATCCCCAAGAGAGCGAGTTTTAAGTATCTCGGGTCTATTATCTAGGGTAACGAGGAGATTGACGAAGATGTCGCACATCACATCGGAGCGGGATGGATGAAGTGGAGGCTCTCTTCTGGTGTTTTGTGTGACAGGAATATGCCGCTAAGACTTAAGGGTAAGTTTTATCGAGTGGTGGTTCGACCGGCTATGTTGTATGGGGCTGAGTGTTGGCTAGTCAAGAACTCCCATGTGTAAACGATGAGAGTAGCAGAGATGAGGATGCTGAGATGGATGTGTGGGTGTACCAGGAGAGATAGGATTAAGAATGAAGCTATCCGGGACAGAGTGGGAGTAGCTTCCGTGGAGGACAAGATGCGGGAGTCGAGGCTGAGATAGTTCGGACATGTTAAGAGAAGAAGCATTGATGCTCCTGTCAGGAGGTGTGAGAGGTTGGCCATGGAGAGTTTGAGAAGAGGTCGGGGTAGGCCTAAGAAGTACTGGGGATAGGTGATTAGACAGGACATGGCGCTGCTTCAGCTCACAGAGGACATGACCCTTGATGAGAGGGTGTGGAGGTCGAGGATTAAGGTAGAAGGTTAGTAGGTAGTTTATAGTTGTTCACCGATAGTCTTAGTAGCATGCATGTCCCTTCATATTCTTAGATTTCTATTACGTTATGTGATTTTGTTCGCCTCAGTATTGTATTCCCTACTGCTATTATTTGGTACTACTAATACTTTATCTCTCCCCTTTTCTTTTCTCTTCCTTCTTTCTTCCTTCCTTGCTTTCATCTTATTCTTTTTGCCCTTCCTGAGCCGAGGGTTTATTGGAAACAGTCTCTCTACCTGCATTAGGTAGGGGTAAGGTCTGCGTACAGATTACCCTCCCCAGACCCCACCTTTTGGGATCAAACTGGGTTTGTGTGGTTGTTGTTGTAGTTGAACTAATGGGTTGTTTCCCAATAGGCAGATCTATAATCTACCATGAATTATTTTCTTCAACAGGTTTGATCTCTTGTTCCAAGGCATTAACCCAATTCTCATCCTGAGCAAAATCCTTGAAGGATTTGGGTTCACTATATGCTGATAAGACTCCAAGATAGGATTTATACGCTGGTGACAGGTGGTGGTAAGAAATGTGCGAAGACAAAGGGTATTTGTTGTTTCGTGATGGTCTTGTTGTGACCACATAATCCTTGTGCCAAGCAGGAGGTGCTGAGGTACTCTGTGGTCTGGTGGATCCAGATGGTTGAGCTGATTGAGCTCCTGCTTTAGCTGGGACATTTGTAGGTGGAACTGCAGGGACTACTTGTTCAAATGTTTCACCAACAACTACTTGATCTCCTGTCTCTTCTTCATCTTGGTGTACCTCATTTCCAATATCACCAGGAGAATGATTCAGTTTAACAGTGCCATCTTCATAATGTTCAGGATTGCTGTCATTAACTTCTTGTTGTTCCACATGTACAGACTGGGTAAGGAGAATGTTTGGTGATAGTGGTTGAGTGTTGTCAGGTCCTTGAGTGAACATATCTTCTTCAGTATTGTATCCTTGAAAGGAAAAATTTCCTTCTGAAAGACAACATCTCCACTTATAAAGAAACCTTTGCTCTCCCTGTCATTCAGCTTATAACCCTTTTGGGTGTCCGAGTAGCCAAGAAACACTGTCTTCTTAGCTTTGGGAGCAAATTTATCCCCCTTTGGCAAGCAGCTTGCACAATACAAATATCCAAAAATTCTGAGATGTTCAATGTAGGCTTGCCTTTTATATAACAACTCATATGGAGTTTTCCCTTCCAACATTGGTGTAGGCAATTTATTTATCAAGTAGACTGCAGTTTTCACACACTCTTCCCAAAATCTGATAGGCACACCATTCTGAAACTTCAAAGCCCTTGCCATCTACAGAATATGCTTGTATTTTCTCGCCACTATGCCATTCTGCTGTGGGTGTAAGCACAACTACTTTGATGGATAATGCCAAGTAAAGCTAGTAACTCATTACATTTGGAACTGAAAAATTCTAAACCATTATTAGATCTTAAAATCTTCATAGTAGCAGCAAATTGATTCTTTATTATTGAAAAGAAGTTCTGCAATACAACCATTACATCACATTTTGAATGTATCAAACATACCCAGGTATATCTACTAAAGTCATCCACAACGGTGGTAATACAATGCTTCCTATCATATATGGGCACCTTGCAAGGTCCCGAGACATCTTTTTCTGTCCGTGAAGATCCCACCAAAGCGCCTTTTTTAGTCTAAAAGGAAAGCGAAGTCACAATCATCGGATAGTCACGAGGTTCTTTTGGCTGATCTTTTCTCTTTTGTTTTGACTTTGAGTGTGGGGGGGGGGGGGAGGGCATAAATGGTCATCTGTGCGTAACAGCTACTGGATTTTTGATCAATCGCCTGAACCTGCCTTTCTTTCTTTGCCAGGAAGGGGGCCTTAGCCCTTAGAATCGAAATCTAAACCGGCGTGGTGTTGCTGGATGCTTCTTGAAGGGTTGTGAGTGGAGCAAGTACGAAGAATGTGAAGCCAGATCGTACTATAGACAATGAAACTTTTTTAAAAATGAGAGCAGTCCATGACTTGACATCGGTAGAATGCTACCTCAAATTCCTTGTATGTTCGGTAGAAAAATAGATGTTGATTTAGTATTACTAGTAGGAAATTACAATTTGCATTGCTTTGCTAAAGGGAATATAACACAATCACTAATTTCACTGCTGCTAACATTATTCTTTATGCCTAGTATATGTTAAATAGTCCTCAAGGATGCATGTCCCAGCCTGTGATGTCATAGAGTAGACTATGTTCCCTTTCTTTGAACAACTCTAGCTAACACTATTAATACCCAATTTTTTTCTCACATATTTTTAAACATATATATACTTTTAAAATAGCACATTTGCAGTTATAAGCATGCATAAACATTTTATAATTTTTCTATAATTTTAAAAGTTCCAAATCAATTTATTTTTTCCTTTTTATTTATATATATATATCCAATAATTATCCTTCAAGTTACTTTTGTGATGATTTAGTCATCTAAATTTTTTATTTATGCCAACATAGTGTTTAAATATTTTAGTGCATTTTTTACAATTATATTTACATTTTTAGGCTAAATTGCAAATCTTTGCAATAATAGCCATACTAATGCATAATTACATTATTTATGCATAAAATGGTATTTTATATTTTTAAAATATTAAATAACTATTTTAAATCATTTTAGTGCACACAAATATATTTTGGAATCCATCTATTATTTTTATAAATTATATAATTATTAAAAGTGGCTATTTAAAATCTGA